GTGACCAGCCGGCCTTGTCAGAACAGGAAAGGACAGGGGGAGCTGCAGGGAGGAAGGGATTCTGCAGAAGAGTGGCCCCCAAAACCACTTGCGAGGAGGGACCCTGTCCCCCAGGGGATTGACAGCTTCTTGCTGTGCCCCTGCAAGCAAGAGCCTGGTGGGTTGCTGGGGCAGCCCCAGGGGAAGAGGCCTGGGGACGTCCCTGGAGGGAGGATCAGGAGTGGTGGCAGCTAAACTTAGCTCCCGGATAAGCTGCCTGTGCAAGGAAGTGAACAGGGATTGGGAGCTGGGGGTTGGGAAGACTTAAAGGGACAGCGACAGGCTTTAAAAGATTGTCCGGCTGGTCCTTGTGGGGTGTGTGCCTGGACCTTCAGAGCCTGTGGCGTGGCGTCCTCGGGACTTGCCATTATGTCACAGGTGTGTCTTTGTAATAAACGACAGGCAAACTCCATGTGTGCTTGGAGCTCCGTGTGCAGTGTCTGGAGAGGCCGTGGGGTGGGCTGGCTTGGCCTGGCGCTCGGGGGATGAGCGCATCCCTGGTGGCTGGCCGTCACTCGGGCGGAGGCCGGTGTGCACAGAACGGGGTGGTCGTGTGGGCCCCCCAAGGGTGGCACTCCTCGGAAGTTGGCCTTGGAAAGCCACAGCTGACGGCCTTTTGGTCAGCCCTCAACATCTCCCGTTCCTCCCCAGGCCGAGACTCGGGTCACGGAAAGGAGCAGCCCTGGGCAAGCGAGCACAGACCCAGCAGCATCGGGGTCCCGCCTCGCACTCGGGGCTCTCCCCATTGGCTCTGGTTCCTCAGCCTCAAGGCAAGGCACCAGGTGGTTTTCTGTGTTTCATACTTTTAAGATCCAGTGTCTCTGTCACTGTTTCATGTCTGTGGTCACACGACACAGCCACAGGCTGCTTCCCTCCCGAGCAGCCCGGTGGCAGGAGGGCGGGAAGGTGGAGAGGTGGTGGTGCTTTCCCTTCAGAGGCTGAGGACTGAGTCGGCACGGGGACAGCCCTCAGAGGGGTGCCAGGCCCACAGCGGTGGCTTCGTGTCAAGGAGGAGGCCGCAGAGACGGCGCTCCGACCTGGAGAGCTGCCGTGTGGGCCGCATGGCACGTGTTCCTCAGGTGCACACCGCCCCCCTGTGTCCCCTCCCCCCACACGCCCCAACTGTGTTCTGTTGTCCCACTGCACTGCCAGCCACACGTCTGCCCACCAACCTTGGGGGCAGCGGTGGTTTCCGGCCTCGGCTTTGAGGATCGTGCTGCCGGAGTTCTCTGGGGGGGCTGTTCTCATACTGACACTGTCACTCGTACACATGGGGGTGGATGGTCACATGCCAAGCCACAGTGACATCACTGGTGGCCGCCTACGTGCGTGCTCGTCTCACCTCGTCCTCTCGGTGTTAATGGCTGACGCATCACATGCTGATCGCTGGGGAGATGGCGCCCAGTGGGAGGAGGTGGGTGGTTTTGTTGGAACGAGTCAGCGAGAACTCAGGGCCTTTCCCTGCAGAGCCTGAAGGAAAGGAGCCAGCGGCCGACGCGGCCCCGTTCTGAGTTGGCTCGGGACTGCTGCGGAGCGGAGCGAGTCCTCTGTCCTCCCTGCGGCTGCCAGTGCTGCTGTCGTTAGTTAATCAGGCAGCCTCCTGGGGGGGGGGGGGGCCATCCTTACTGCTGCCATTCTGGTGTGGGGACAAGCTTCCCCCGATGGCCCCGGACCACGCTCTCGGTCACCAGAGGAAAGCTCCAGGAAGCACCGCCGCGTCAGCTTTGAGAAAACGCACGCCCAGCACCCCGTGGCCTGCAGAGCCCACCGAGCACGAGGCTGCCAGAGCTCAGGGCGCGCACGAACATGAGGTTTCATGGTTCGTTGGGGTCTGGCCTTCAGAAGGTGTTAGTTCTACTGCTGGGTAACAGGTGATCACAGTGCAGGTGGGTAAACAGCTGCACAGATGCGCTGTCCATGGTGGGCACTGGTCAGGGGCTCACCAGGCTGAGGTCCAGGGATCCGTGGGCTCGCCTGTCCTTGCAGAGCTCACTTCCCTGCAGTATTTGACTGGGGCCCCTTTTGTTTTGCTGGTTGCCAGCTGGGACCCCTCTCCGCTCCCTGTACCCTTAGTTTCTGGCCCCGGGGCCCCTCCTCCATAGCCCGGCTGCTCACTTTCCACAGACCTGCAGGAGGGCACCGCTCTGAAAGGGTCCCGGGTACTGGGGGGGGGCGCTGGTCCCCTCCTGGCCTTGGCCCACCCTCAAGGGTAGGGGACTATGTGTGGGTGCATTCGTGAGGTCATGCGGAGGTCAGCCAGCACAGAACCCCGTTCCCACCCAGGTCTGTGCCTGTGTTTGCTCCTGAGTTTGTTGTTTCAGTTTTTACACATGGTCCGAGACCCTTTTTGAGCTCGTTTCTGTGCATGGTGATCGGACCTGTGTGCTTTGTCTTTCCCAAACAGACCACCGTTTACAGAAAAGACATTCCTCTCCCCACCCCAGGCCCTGAGTTACTTTGAAACTTTTGCCCAAACCAGTCTGCCACCTCCGTGTGGCTCTCTCTCCTCCTGGACGCTCATTTCTGTCCGGTTACCCATACGCCTCTTCCTTTTTTTTTTTAAGATTTTATTTATTTTTAGAGAGACAAGAAGGGGAAGAAACAGAGAGGGAGAGAAACCTCAGTGTGTGGTTGCCTCTCACCCCCCCCCCAGGGACCTGGCCCGCAACCCACACATGTGCCCTGACTGGGAATCGAACCAGCGACTCTTTGTTTCGCAGGCCAGTCTTCAATCCACTGAGCTTGTTTGGGGTTGTGGAGCTTCTTGAAATCTGTAAATGTATGTCTTTTACCAAATTGGGAAAATTCTCTGCTTTTTAAAAAAGCGTTTCTTCTCTCTGGGTCTCCCTGTTCTCTGCTGTTGGTTTCCAGTCCAGGTGTCCAGGTGACCTGGTGAAGTTGCCCCCAGATGGCCCAGCTGTTGTCCTTGTTTATTAATCTTCCTTTCCCTCCTGGGATTGGATCGGTCCTGTCCTCCCAAGTTCAGAGCTCACTGGCTCTGTTCTGTGTCCTCTTCAGTCCGTTACCGAGTCCACCGTTAGATGTTTCATTGTGGGCACTCTGCATACTAGTGCCGACGTTCCGTCTGGCTCTCTCTGTTTTCTCGTTCTCTGCTAAGATGCTTTATGTCTTTATTCGGTATAAGCACGTCACTGCTCATTGAGCTTCGTTATAATGGCCGCTGTAAAGTCTTTGTCTAGTAATTCCGTATCTGGGCTGTTCGAGTTGGTGCCTGACTCTGCCTCCCTCGAGGGTCAGAGCCATTTTCCCGGCTCTCTGCACAGTGAGTGCTTTGGATTGTGCCCTGGACGTCACGAATGTCATTTTAGTCCCCAACTAACATTGGCATCTTCACTTGGGCGGGCAGTGAACGTGGTGAGACTGAGGGCCAGTTCTGCCATGCTGGCATGACAGCCCTGAGGGCACCAGAAGGGGGCGCTCAAGGGTTCTTCCACAGCCCCAATGCGCAGGAAGGGAGGGGGGGTGAGGGAGCGGGGCGCCCCAGCCGCAGAGGAGTCCGGTCACCGTGCAGCTGCTCCCTCACCGGCTGTTTCCTGTCCATCCTGGGGGGCGGGGCAGGATGTGCAGACAAAGCGAGAAGGGGGGGAAGTGGCAGGGGATGTGTGCTTCCCCACGTGGAAGGGGGACACTGTGGGGGTGGAGACCGGGTGCAGGGCAAGGGGCCTCTTTCTCTTTCTTCCTGCAGCTGAGGGTGCCTTCCCTTGCAGCGCTTACCTCTGGGACACCCAGTGCCCTACAGCATCCCCGGTGTCATAGGGAGCACCGAGTTTGCTCCTTGTCCTTTGTGCTCTGCCCAGGGTTGGGGAGGGTGTGCCTCTGTCCCCTAACACCATCCAGAAGGCCGTTGCTCTGAAATGGGGAGGCTGCCTCTTCTCCAGAGGAAAGGTGCCCCTTGCCCTTCTCCCCTGCGCCTGTTTGGGGCCAGTGGGGAAAGGCGAGTCAGGAGCCGGTGCCTGCTCCGTCACCGCCTGCCTCCTCCTCCGTGAACTCTCAGGCTGGAGCTGCCACTTTGTGCCTCCCCACTCCTTCCCCCGCCAGGGCCTAGGAGGTCAGCCTGTGCACAGTGTGGCCTCACCGCCTTGCTTTTTCTGAGAGGTGGTGCTGGGGTGCTCGCTCCACAGCCGCCGCCCACGGAGCCTTGGGAGACCCTCGGCACCAGCAGCCCCGTGTCAGGGGCAGGCCCCAGTGATGTCCTGGAGAGCCGTGCCCCAGGCGTGGGGGCACAGGGAATCTTCACTGACCACGAGGCTGGTCGGCTCTGCAGGAGCCAGCGTTGGAACGCCCTGTGGGTGCCCCCTGCGCCCCAGGGCTGCCTCTGCATTTGGTGGCTCTGCACTTCCTGAAACAGGGCTGGGTGACTGGCGCTGTGCTCCCAGCCAGGGGACAGCCCACAGGTGTCCAGCCCAGAGTGTGCAGGGGACAGAGAAAGACGCACTGGTCCTCCATGAAGGTCCCCACAGGACGCGGCAGGTCCATCCTACAGACATGTGAGGGGAGACTGGCAAGTCCCAGGACACTGGAGCCCGTGGGGGGCGGGGGGGCTCTCCTCTTATCAGTCTCTGCCCTGGAAGACAGCGTGTGGGGTGCGGCGGGCCATCTGCAACGGAGCAGAGCTGTCACAGGAACATGGCCGTGGGCCCCACCTGGAGCAGGCCGGCCCATCCTCAGAGGGACGCTGGCCCGTCCCTGTGCAGCAGGAGCAGAGCAGGGCGCTCTGGGAACCGGCCTGACCTTGAATTCTGGGGTTGGGGCTAGAGACACCGCATTGTTTAACTTTAAAAAAAGTGTTATTTTTATTTTTTAATATCTCCATGTAGTCTTAGACCTTCTCCTTTGCCGTACTGTTCACACAGAGGTGGAATGACACGCGAGTTCTTCTGCCCGAGAGTCAGGCCCTGCCGCAGGGACTGAGTCACGGGTGTTTTCTCTCTCCTTGGCAGGGGGAGTCGGTGAGGTACTTCCTGGACAACTTGGACCGGATCGGCCAGCTGGTGAGTGTGCGCCACCCCGTCCAGGCTCCACCCTCTCGCCGTGTTGTCGCACCAGGTGACCTGAGGGGATGGCAGTGTCACGAGGGTCTCCTCAAGCCTGTAGAGGAAGCTCTCGTGTCCTCGGTCACAGACCTGCAGTCACTGCTAATCAGTAGTGAGGTGGCATTTCTGTGAAGTCCCTTTACCCGGTCCCCACCCAGGGGCCAGGCCATTTGACCGTCTGCCATGGAAAGTTCAGATGTGGACAGATCCGGAGAGGGTACTGAACCCCAGGTCAGACAACTTGTCCCAACAGTCCCATCCCGCTCCCCATCATTGTGCAATTTCATCAATAGTACAGGGGCTGGCACAGGAAACGCCCCTTTTCTACGACAGAATCTTTTATTACAAAATCATAAGCATGTCATTCTGTAACAGCACTATCGCACTCAAGCACACCATAGGACATTTTAAGTGAAATGTTCAAGTTAAAACTATAAATGAGCCCTGACTGGCGTGGCACATTGGACTGAGCGCTGGCTTGTGAACTGAAGAGCCGCCAGTTCAGTTCCCAGTCAGTGCACATGCCTGGGTTGTGGGCTTGGTCCCCACTAGGGGGTGTGCAAGAGGCAACCACACATTGATGTTTCTCTCCCTCTCTCCCTTCCCCTGTCTCTGAAATTAAGTGAATAAAAACTTTTAATATTTTTTTATTTGTCTGTAGAGGAAATAGGAAGGAGAGAGGGAGAGAAACATCAATGTATGGTTGCCTCTCATGCATCCCCTGCTGGGAACTGGCCTGCAACCCAGGCAGGTGCCCTGACTGGGAATCGAACTGCGATGGTGTGGTTCGCAGGCCCGCACTCAATCCACTGAGCTACGCCACCCAGGGCCAAAAAGATTTTTATTAATCTATAAATTATTACACCCATATTATTACCCTACCAACCATGCAGAGCCCATTTCTGAACAGTAAGACTCCAAAAGTCCAACCACAATACCCTATCGCTCCTAAGAAGCCGCGGTAGTTCTTTAATACCAGCCCTCCCCAGCCGGTTTGGGGACTTCCCAGGAGTCAGGGACGCTTTCTCATGGATGCTGCTTCACCCCAGCAATTTGAATCAACACCCTCATGAAGTCCTCAGGCGACGACTGGTCCCTGACACTTACTGGGGGTTTCTATCTGGGGGCTTCTCTCACCCGTCTGTTCTTTCCTTTCACTTGTTACAGTAACCGGGCCGTCTCCCCTGTCCAGCCCCTTCATCCATCCTGCAGTGTGGCTGCAGCCCATCTGGCCCTTTCTCCAGTCCCCATCTGCCCTGCGAAGTGGGGCCGGTCCTGGGGCGCTGTCGCCCTGTGCAGTTTGGGGAGACTTTGGCCCAAGTGCAGTGTACAGTGGTCAGGGGGGTCAGGTGAGGCTGAGACCGGTTCTGGAACTTCCCTTGCCTGCCTGGCTGCGCACCAGCGAAGGCTTTCAGCGCTCTCCACAAGTAACATGACATACACTGAAAGCCCAAACTAAATTATTTCACAGTAAGGTCTTAGAATGCATTTGCTCCAGAAATTAGGGGATTAGTAGGTAGCTTTGGGGCAAAAGCAGAGGAAGATGGCTAGTTGCCTGTGGGTTCCCGTGGAGACCCACCAGTGAGATGCTGAAAGTGCCCTCAGACTGGAGAGCTGCGTTGGCTTTGACGTGAGCACCTGGGTCCCTCCGATTTCTGCCCCAAGGTGCATTTGTGATAAAGAAGCTGCTTTCGGTATTTGGCTTGACTTCTCGCAGAACCAGTTTGAGTCTCTGCTCCCACCCCATCTTTTTGTTCTCTCTCCCACGCCTCCTTCCTGAACCTCTCTTGCTGTATCTTACAGAACTACATTCCTAGTAAGCAAGACATCCTGCTGGCAAGGAAAGCCACCAAGGGCATCGTGGAGCACGACTTTGTCATTAAGAAGATCCCCTTCAAGATGGTGGACGTGGGCGGCCAGCGGTCGCAGCGCCAGAAGTGGTTCCAGTGCTTTGACGGCATCACCTCCATCCTGTTCATGGTGTCCTCCAGCGAGTACGACCAGGTGCTCATGGAGGACCGGCGCACCAACCGGCTGGTGGAGTCCATGAACATCTTCGAGACCATCGCCAACAACAAGCTCTTCTTCAACGTGTCCATCATCCTCTTCCTCAACAAGACGGACCTGCTGGTGGAGAAGGTGAAGGGCGTCAGTATCAGGAAGCACTTCCCCGACTTCCAGGGCGACCCGCACCGGCTGGAGGACGTGCAGCGCTTCCTGGTGCAGAGCTTCGACCGCCGGCGGAGGAGCCGCAGCAAGCCGCTCTTCCACCACTTCACCACGGCCATCGACACGGAGAACATCCGCTTCGTGTTCCACGCGGTGAAGGACACGATCCTGCAGGAGAACCTGAAGGACATCATGCTGCAGTGAGTCGGCCTGGCAGCGGCGCAGGGCCCCGACGAGCTACTGGATCCTGGGGATGCACACTACTGAGACTCCGCACGCCGCTCGGGCGGCGGCGGTGCGCGCGCACAGCACGCTCTCCCGCGCGGGAGCACCGCTCCCGTCGGACGCAGCGGCACCGAGTGCGTGCGCGCGCAAGTGTGGCGCGTGCGCACTCTTTCTAATGATAAAACACTGACCGGCCGGCCTTCCAGACGGCTCTCTTCCTAACTTGCAGGTCTAACCCCAAAGCTCTGCCGCCGTAGCTTGTAAGAGGCCGAGTGCACACTGATGCTGCTAACGCAGTTCTGTGCCTGCCCTGCCCCGCCTGCCAGGGGTCTCGGGCCACCTCCCAAAGTGAGCAAGTTGCCTTTTAAAGCTCCCGTGCCCAGTTCCTGAGAGCCCCCGGTGCTGGCCCTTGGGTGAAGCCCCGGGGCCCGCCTCAGAGGGTGGGGTAGGACTCCACGGGTGTGGTCTTGCCTTACTGCGCCAGCGTGCGCTGTCCCTCCAGCCTGTCACCTTGCCCTGGTCTGTGGACCTGGTGCGTCCCTCTCCGCCCAGGCGCACAGCGGTGCTTGTTACTTTGGATCCGCCCTGCCCTTCCCCACCTACTGGCAAAGACAAACCAACCTGCCTTGCAGGGAGTTTCCCATCTCAGGAGTCCCCTCCTGACGATCCCTGCTGTCGGCTGCCCTGGCTCAGTACGGCACTCCCGCCCTTTCAGCCCTGGCAGCTGCAGGGTTACCAGCACAGCCTGCGGTCACACACCTGCTGGGGCACCGCCGACACTGCCCTGTAGGAAGCCCTCGGGCCCTGCAGCACCCCTAGTTTCTGCAGACTGCCCCCCCACCGACACCTCTTGCAGCCAGTCCCTGTCTCAGCCCCCCTTGCCCTCCCGGCTCTGGCCCAGGGCTCCCGCCTCTTTAGCGCCCACACAACACAGGTCAGTGTCGGCCACGGCTCTCAGCCAGGAGCGCAGGAGCTGGGGGCAGGGGCGGGCTGCTCAGCGGCACCCAGTTCGCGCTCGCTTTCCTGCCAGGCACCTCACCATGTACAAGAACACTGCATTCCACTGTCCCTGCTGGGAGCTGCTCTACAGAGCCCATCTTGGCTCCTGGGACTTCCCCCAGCATTGAAAGAAAAGGGAAAGAGCTTCCTTTGTGGCTGGCCCCAGGATGTCACTGTGGTCGACACACCTCCTGTGGCCCTTGTCCTGAAGCCACACTGCTCCCCTCCCCTCCTGTGTCCCCTGGCACCTCTCTTGGCTCTGAGTCAGCAGGCCAGATACTCTTGAGTCTCTAGGCAAGGCTGACCCAGAAGGGGGGGGGGCAGCCTGCCTCTGAGGCACCCTTGTTCTCCCCGTGTGTTTGATGAGGAGACAACATGAGATCCTTTCTCGCTGGTGCTCGAGGCCGAGTGGCGGCATTTGGGGGGATTTCAGCTGCTTTTGAGTTTTTGGCCAGAAAGAAGTTGCTTGTTTTGTGCTCCTCCTGTGGCTCTTCACAAGCCAAGAGGCCATTCCCGGGCTCAGGGCCGACTGCGTGGCTCAGAGGGAGGGAGCCCTGGGGGGCCGGGGCAGGGCGGCTCTGAGATCAGGTTTGCTTCTGATGACAGTGGGGGCAGCCCCTCGCCTGTCACTGTACTGGGTCTCGTCGGTGTGTGAGGGCTCCCGCTGCTCCTCACCAACCTGGAAGTGTGGGCTGCTGACCTCCTGGTCCTCGCACCTGCTGGCCGCCCCGTCTGAGTGCCTCTGCCTTTAACCAGCCTGCCACGTCTGCTCATTCACGTTCAAGTGCGTACGAGGGGCCTTGACTGTGTGGAGCTGCCCGTAACATGGGGTGGCCTTCAGGCCAGGACCCCGACCAGCTCAGCCCCCAACCTCACGGCCTGTTCACCGAGCCTGAGAGTCCCCAGGCCCCAGGAGGAAGGTGTCAACAGCGTCAGCTCTGAATTCTGGGATTCGTCATGACCAGAGAAGAAGAGAACGATTTGTAAAGCGAAACTAAACTGTTCACAACTTCGCTACACATAGGCTGTCCTCATCCTTGTCTCTAAAACCTTTGGCTTTGTAATTTTTTATCCTAATTCCACTGTTACCCTTGATTATTGTCTTTTTTATTGAGATATTGGAGAAGCAGGAGATAGCTGTGCCTCATCTATTATTGCAAAAATGTAACAATAAACGTCCTCAAAACAAGATGCTGTTCTCTTGGTCATACTGTCTGCAGTAAGGACCGTGGGGCCTTTTGCTGAGATGTCTCTAACTGTTCTGTGTGGGAGATGTGGAGTCACAGCTTCGTGACTGGCAGAGATCTCTGGCCTTTTATCCTGGGAAATTGTTTCATTTCTCGGATACGGAAAAAGTGAGTTGGGTTATTGTCACTCCGAGATGAGACACTAACGTGGAAACGGGGTCGGTAGTTGTGTCGGACTAACGTGGGGGCCCTGGGACAGACACCCCCGGACGTGGGGTGTGAGGCGAAGGCCCCGCTGAGCGGAGTGGCTGGCGCGTGGCGCTTGGATCAGCGCTGCTTCAGGGAAATGGTTTGCAGTTTCACCCCCTCCGGTCTCTGGAAGTTTATTAAAATCGACGCTTAGGTTTTTTTGCTTAACAGAAAATACCACTTAGCATTTAAAGCCAACATGAAGTTAAAGTTTCAGACCCCAAAATTCAGAGCGATAACACCCTCCTTTTACTTGAGCGCTCGCTATTTGGTGATCAGTTTGTACCTCCACGTGCTATATGCTCGGCACACAGGCAGCCATCACGGAGACCGTCCTGGATGGGGACTCTGAGTACGGCTCCCAAACAGGCAGTTGTGGCAGTGGCCACTGCCAGGGGACCTGTGGAAGGCCGGGGAAGAGTGGGCGGCATTCTGTCGTCCTGACACACCCCCGGGGTTATTGTGGAGAAAGCCCTGTTTCCCCACCAGCAGCCACTGATGTGCCCCCCAACCAAGAGCCGTGGCGGGTTTGCTTCTGCGACTTTCGCGAAGAGAGGGCATCCTGCCTCCACCTGCCGCAGGGGTTGGACCGCCACTCTCCCCAGTGGGGGCGTCTGATGTGCTCACGGAAGCAGCCCTCGGATGTTTAGGAAGCTCTGCTCTGCAGATCGGGGACACCATGCTGGGCCCTGAAGAGTAGGGGTGGGTCCTTGTGTGGGCGAGACGGGTCAGAAGCTGCCATGGTGTGTTCAGGGCCCTTGGGACACAGGACGTACTGTCTGCAAGGGTTCAGGGAGGCTGACGCCGGAACTTGTGGCCATGGGGCACTGAGATGCCCTCCCGCCTGCTCCTGTTCCCCCTCGGTGTCTCCATGTCACTAGGGCCTGCCCACCTGGATCCTGACTCTTACCACCAGGTGCCCCCCCTCAGAACTCTCCAGAACTTGGAGGCTGATCATTTAGGGTTCAGAGTGGCCTCGTCGTCACAGCTGTGACTTCCACGCTGCTGCTTGCGTCTCTTCAGGTGAGAACTTCTGACCACGAGCAGGTGACAAACTCCGGAAACCCCCTCCCCGGGCGACGCCTGGTGCCCAGAGCAGCTCCCAGGGCCGGAAGCCTGCCCGCGGTGTCCCTGACATGGCCTCGGAGCCCGGAGACCTCAGGCTGGGGCTGCACCCCTCAGGCCCCACCAAACTGGGCCTGGGGGAGCTGAGCTTCTCAAAGGTGCGCACTCATCCCCCACAGCGGCGGGAAGAAGCGGAACATTTCCAGAAATGGTGAGTGCTCAGACATTCTGGCTGGGCGGGTAACCCTGGAACCTGGGGTACTGGGGGCAGCGAGGCAAGGAAGAGGGGATCCTTCCTGGAAATCGGGTTCTCTGCTTCGAGCCGTTGCAGACCTGGTGCCTTTCCTTCCGATGGCTCTGGTCCGTGCGTGTGTGGGACCTGGACCGTGGTGGCAGCCGCCGGGACTTCCTGCTGGGCAGCAGAGGGTCTCGGGGCCCTGGGGAGCACCAGCCTTCGGGCCGGCACCTCTCCAGAACCACAGGGCCCTGTGCAGGTTTGGTGCATGTGCAGCACAGGTCAGGTGCCCGGCCACCTAGCAGGGTGGCGAGGTGGGTGGGGTGTCAGCCTGGGGGCTGGACCCAGACAGTCTGGCGGCTTCTCTCCTGCGGCTGGGGGCTGAGAGCTCAAGTGCTTCCTGGTGTTTACCCGACAGCAGCCTTGGTCGTTTGTCAACTCCACAACCTTTCTGAGTGCCGATGACTCCAGGGTGGACAGAACTCATGGGCAGGCTGAGTGGCCATGTGAACTGGTGGCGTCACGGCCGAAAAAGCACTGCCAGGGTATGGGTGTAAACAGAAGTCATGGTGCCCCAACAGGAAGAGTGGCTTCGTCCTCCTGTGACCGCTCCTCCAAGGGGTTGAGCTTGACCCCAGAAAGCAAGGAAACCTGGAATAAGCATTCACGAGGTGACTCGGTCTGAGAAACCAGGTTTCTAAACGCCCCCACTGCCAGAGGACTGGAGCATCAGTGAGGTGTGTGCCAGTGCGTCCCGGGCAGATGCAGTAGGACTCTGGCCGCCCACGACAGCAAGGACCCACCTCCGAGAGACCCTTCCAGGGACAGGAAGGTGCCACCCGTCCCCGGAAGGAACAGTCACCTGTGCAAGTGGGTCCCCACACGCACCCTTGGTGAGACGCGTTCGCCCAATTTCTATTTACTCTCCCTGAATCAAAGCCCTTCATCCGGGCTCCGGGCACCTGTGGATTTGGGGTGGAAGTACAACGTGAGGGGGACAGACAGTTGCAGCAGCGTGGGCCATATCCCGTGTGTCAGGGTCGTGGTCACCCCAGCGCCGAGGTGCTGACACACAGGTGCATTTCCGAGTGGCTCCTGGACTTTGACACATGAGCGACACCGCCCGGGCTGGCCATCGACGTGTGACTTGGGTAAAGCCAGGACTGACAAGAGGCCCGCTGGGGGCTCATGGCAAGGGACAGGGACAGGGAGTCCAGGGCCGCTGGACATTCCTCATTGTTCTCAGGCTCCGCTCCTGAGAGGGGACATGGAAGCCGTGCTCTGGGCAGGAGGTCGGCCCCCTGGGGGAAACTGGGGACAGAGGCCTGCCCCGCCTCTGCAGGACCAAGTGTGTGGATGAAAGTGCTCCGAGCAGCTGATCGGGCAGGCCCGTGTGGGCTCCCAGAGCCTCCTCCCGGTCCTCCAGGGTAAAAACATTCCTGCTGGGACTGGCCCTCTACACAAACAGGGCGGCAGGGCCCCAGCAGCTTGGGCTGTTGGCGTTGGCACCTGGGCCCAAGCACTGCCACCTACCCGGCCACTGGGACCTCCAGGGGGTCTGAGAGCAGGGGCAGCAGCAGCCCAGCCTGAGGGTCAGGTCAGGAAAAGGCCGGGCCGGGTTGGGCTGGCCCAAGGGGCTGCCCAGGTGCTTTCCCAAGAAAGACCGAGAACACAAGGCCAGGAGTAGGCAGCGAGGCCTGACTGGCGAGGCCTTCAGACCCACAGCTTTGCAGCTCCGGGCAGAGAGCACTCAGCCCCGGCTGGCCCACTCCGCCACAAGAGGGTGCCTGCCTGGCAGGATGGCTTTGAGCACCGAGGCCAGCAGAGGTCAGGAGCCCCCCGGGATGGAGCAGGCCCACTCGAGGTGAAGGGCACTCCCACAGCATCAGCCTGCAGAGCGGCTCCGTGTGGACTGTCTGTGCGCATGTCCCTGGGGTGCTGCAGCCTCTCCTTTGACCTTGGTGGGTCTAAACTCGGACCGTGGCCGCACCATCAGGAGCCTGGCTCAGCCAGTGTGTGTTTATTCTCCCTTTAAGCCCTTTTGGAGACTTGTCTCCTCCCAGAAAGGTCCAGGACAGCCCCCGGGTCAGCATTAGTGGGACCAGGTCCCTGCTCCCGCCCCACGGGGCCTGCAGGAGGCTGGAAGGCTGTCCAGTCCCTGTGAGGCTGCCGGAGCCGGGGCCGGGGCCAGTGGGAGGGTTCAGGATGGCCTGTCGCATGACCGTGCCACGGGGAGGAAGAGGGGGACTGCAAGGCCGGAAAGTGGGAAGTCGGGGCTGCCATAGAGGATGCGTGTCGATCGCCCCTTACGTCCAGGCCTCGCTGCCCATCCCCCTTGGTCGAGACGTCGTTCTGGGGGCGGTGAGCTCTCGGGGCCCACGGGCCATGCCGGGCGTCTGGCCCCCTGACGCCCGAGCAGCCACGGGAGAGTCCCGCCACAGTGTTCCTAGCTCCGCCCAGGCCCCTACGCTGGCAAGCTCACAGAGTTGTGCTGTGACTCCAGGGACTTGGGAGGGAGAAGGGGCTGGGAAGCAGCCTCTTTGTCCGTTTACAGACTCTCAGGCCCAGGATTGTTCTCTCCAGAACGTCTCTCCGACTAGTGTCTGCAGCTGGGGACGATGAGGCGGGGGTGGGGGTGGCCAAGGAGGAGACTCTGCTGTTACGGGCTTGTCCCTGCCCACTTGAGAATGCTTTTTTGGGACACTCGTCACAGCTGAGAGCCAAAGGCCACAGACACAGATAGACCTTCTGAGAACGTGGCCCTTACCACCCCCCAACCCCCGCCCATGCCCCGAGCTCCCTCCCTCAGGTCCTCAGACACAATCAGGTCATTTAAGAGCATGGCAACATTTTGGATGTGAGAGCGTCCAAACAGAGATTTCTGTTATAAATATGGTTGTCGTTAAACAAGTCAGTCCAGCAGCGTGGAGACCTCTCTGGGGGAGGGGAACCGGCATGAGAAGTGCCCACTCCCTGCCCTTGTCCAGGCCACGCCAGAGCGCCCTGCGGCCTTCCGCTCTGGCTCCTGGGGACACACTCTTGCTCAGAGTGGCCACATAAAAATCCTAAACTGAGTTTTAAATGAGAAAAGGAACCACACTTACTCAAATGTTCTGATAACCTCGGGAAATTAGGCGTCGGGCCCAGTTAGGTCGGGGGGTCTAACAGGCCGGGAGCCTCCCCAAGAACACGTCTCCCCACTGTACCAGGCCGCCCACCGCACCATCCGCCCACACCAGCTCCTCCTCCGTCTTCTCCCCCACCCGGGCCTGGACTCCATGCCGGTTCCAAGCTGCGGTGGGCCCTCCTCCAGGACCACCAGGGAGCCCGGCCGGCCCTCAGATCAGCTGTGCCGCGACGTCAGGGATCCACATGTTGGGAGTGAGGGGCTCCGACGGGCTGGTGCCCGGCTCCTAAGCGCTCTCAGCACAGGCCTGAGTCGTCACTGCGGAGCG